GTAATTCAAACAACTGATAAAATGAACAAATAAAAATGCTATTTATGTGATAGGACAAAGAATAAAAGTAATGTGAATAATAAGTGTGGAAAGTAAGGAAGAATCTATCTTCAAACATATTCTATAGTACTTACTTTAACAGATACGTGAAGTTAATGCCAATCTTCAATCTCATTACCGCCCTTCAACTGAAAAAAATTAAAGATGAAACTTACAAACTGCGCAGAAACAATGGACATTACATACCAAATGTGTAGATTAGTACGCTTAGTACAACCAAATACATATGGTGGAGGAGAAAAGAGAATGGACTCAAAATAAATGGCATACAAATCACAACCCTCTCAAGAGCATTCACGTACATCTAAACATGAACGAAGGCAAAATATGGTACATACTATCACACTAGGAAGGATACACGTATATTTTTATCAGCTTGGTTTTAAGGCATCTATCAGGTTCTGGTACATTTGGATGCCTGATGAAATTACTAATGAGATTTTCCATTTAAGAAATAAGTAATAGTCAGCTATCAATATTTGCTGTAGCAGATGATACAGAAACTCCATTGGTGAAAATGTTTGTGACATTCTTAGCAATATGGAACCTGATTATATTTACTGAAATAGTAAAAATGGGAAACAACCTTAAACACCTTAGGGAATGGCTGATGGCAAGATACTTTACACATAAAATACATACAAAATATAAATCCAGTCCTTTCCTTTTCAGGAAAGTAAGTGGGTCCGAGTATAAATTGACAGAAACCTCCACACTACTTCTCATCAGCATCAATATGAATTAACAACACTTATGTGCTTCAAGAACAGCTGTTACATGATTATCCACACATACAATTATTTGATGCACCATCAGAAAGAGAGTTCATAAATATCAGTTATATTCATTTACTAGAATTCATCATTGTGCATCCAACTTAAAACTGCAACTCAGAATAAGCAAACCCTCCGCCAACGCAGATTCAATCCGTCAAAACAAATGCAAAGAATAGTAAAAGTACAAAATTTCAATTACATGTGGTCTGCCAAAAATGCTGTACAAAAACTACCACCAATGCTAAAGACAGTTTAGCTTTTACTTATGTATTTTCATGACCAACTTGGTTTGCTTCATTCAGCATAAAGTATAAAAATTCAGCTCAACTGTCATCCTGCGATTTCTTTCTCTTATGTCTCTCGTCCCCTCTTCCATTTCACCGAACTGCACGTAACCAGTGCCCTGAATCTTGTTCATGCCATAACCAAGTTGTGTCATATCGTTTTGCGTTTTTCTTTACACTATGGAGAGCTTTACGGAATTAAAATACAAATCTAAAAATAATTATGAACCAAAGTCATAAGAAAGATGATTTATCGTTTCTTTACACCGACATCCCATGGCCATGTTTCTGTATCCCCATTAATCCTGTATGACATTAATTTTGTCCCATACAGTCTAATCAAAAGCATTTTCCACGTTGGATGAGGGTTTACTGTGCCACATTTACCCAATTATAAGACCAAGTTCTTTTGTAACTTATTTTCAATAACGATTGGGGGGCAAATTTTTTTTTAGATGGTTAGGTATGCTAAGAAATGAGGTAAAAAGCTACATTAGTGTGAGATAACTGAACACAATTATTTCTGGAATTCTCCTCTGTAAAGGTATTTTCCTTTTAACAATCTACTAGTTGTCTTATAGTTGGATAAATATAGTATAAAGAAAATATTCTTTGCATGAACTTACTATAAGAAGACAAGTCTATCTCATCTGGCAACTCTGTGATGTTGACATCGAAACGATCCTGGACTTCATTCAATATCTTGGCATCACCTTCATCACTTACAAGTGTAATAGCCAGACCCTGAAACAAGAAATATCAATTTCCATGAAATAGAACAAATGAGTCTGATGGAACAATTCCAAAATAATGTATCATGGCATTCTACTGTGCAACACCCTATGGTTATTACGAGAGCTTACAATGTTCAGAAAATATTTTGTTATAATGTTAAATGTCTGGGAGGGTATCAGAATCAAAATGGGAATAATTAAGTTATTTCATGTTACCATATACACCACAATAGTTGTAATTTAATTTCTACACAGAATGTACCAAATATATATATATATATATATACACATTATAATACAGAATGTTAACCTTAACTATCTCTGGGTGTTGTGTTTACAAGGGCAACCTAGTGTGGTCTATACATAAGATTGCATTGAGATATCTTTTTCCATGATTCATACACTTTTACTGACTGATGGGTAACATGAACAGAATCTGTAGAGTACTATCCATGATTGACAGATTTAATTCCACCAGACTTAATCTTCTGGGGATACTTGAAAGATGCAATGTACAGCACAAAGCCAGCAACACTCCAAGATCTTTGGCAAAAAATTGAAAGTCTTGTTCCGCAGTCACAGCAGCAACTTTGACAATCACTTGTCAGTCAGATGCTTACCAATGTTAACTGTTTCACAAAGCTAAAGGCGGTCATTTAAAACATCTACACTTCATTCACTAATTCAAGTGCAAATGCTGATGTACGTGACCTAGTTTATTAAAATGTCTTTGTTTCATTCAATGAATGTTTTTAAGCATCTTTTTGGGACATCTGTTTAAAAGGACTGACACCAACTATTTAAGACAATTTACTATTGAATTACAGTAGAAAGACGTCTAACTGCATAAATTCACATGAAGTGCAAACCTTGGAATAAACACAGGATCTACATAGTACAGGTATGGAACGCACTGTCTGCATGGCAAGGAGGTACTAGTGTAACTTCAATCTGGGTCTTGACAAGATTTGTAACCATGTCAATTAGTTACAACAAATGGGAGAGCTGGGAACTTCTAACATCTGTTACTCCCATGAGAACTACTAATGACAAGGCATATGAAACAGCAAAGATACATTTGTCACACAATCACAACACAGCACAGTATCTGCATAGTTGGTGTCCGAAAGCTTCAAACAGTGGACCCGTATGAGAAAATTATAATAGTGAAAGAATTCTGATGGGAAATGGTCATAAGAAATGGATATAAAAT